TTTTTTCTCCGGGAAGATAACATTATATATAATTATATATAAATTTATATATTTATACAAAATTATATAAAATTATACATAATTATATTAAATTTTATATATTTTTATGTAAAATTAGATCAAATTATATATAATTAAATATAATTTTATATAATTATATATAATTTTTTTTCCCCGGGAGGACAGAAATGAATTTATGCGCGAGTTTATTCAAACAGTTTGGTATAAAAATCTTAATGCTTTGGAACATAGTAAAAAAGTTGAGATTGAGAAATTTATTTCAACTTTGATCAATTACATTGTTAGCGATAATAAATCTTACTCGTTTGACGCATTGAAATTCGAATCGAAATTTAATAATTCTATCGAAGAAGAGCCGATCGTTGATGTTCATTTTGCGACTGAACAAGAAATTGAATTTCCTGACATTATTATGGAAGAAGACAAAGGAGAAAACTTGAATACCTGTTATATTGCTAACGAAATTTAATTTGCTGGACAAAATTATATTTCATAGAACAGACGCATGGGCAGAAGTATCACCGGCCAGTTTCAGTAAGTTCAAATCAGCGATGGAGTGTCCCTTATTTTTGTTAAATGATCCAGATATTAGTGAATCAATTGGTTACTTTTATACTTTGAATGTTCACAAACAATTATTAGAGAACACTACAAAGATTGAACCGCGTACGCGAAGACCGTATCACGGCGGGCTTGTGCTGACAGACACCAATGAATTTGATAAATACAACGATTACATTTTGTCGTTTACAACAATGATGACGACAAAGATCAAATAAAAATATCCTTCGATGCTATCGACTCACTAGAATTTGATAAAATTTTGTCTTTGTACAATCTTTTTCTCAATTGCGTCCAAGATTTTGAGAAATATCCTACTTTACCTGAATACGTCGAGTATATTCTTAAGAAAAAAAAGTTTAACGGTGATTTAGTAACAATTTTTGCACCTAATGTTTATATCGGCATCGAATATGTCTTCTCGCTTTATCAAAATATAATAAAAGAAGTCGATGTTACCAAATTTATTGAGGTGTGTAAAAACTATGTTAAACGACCTGAACGGATCAAAGCTGAAGAAATAATCAAATTCAATGACGACAATGAAATCAACAAATTTATTTCTAGCGAAGAAACAAAAGTGAATTTAAAAAGACAAACATCATAGATTAGTTATTCGATGTATACTTTAGAATATATTTTTTTTATAATGTATGACAACAAAATACCTCAAACTAATAAATGTTATGACTTGACATAATTGTAAGTAAAAGTAAGTTTATAATCATTGTTTTTATGATATTGTTTTGTTGGAGTGTGTCAGTGTGGAAATATGTGAAATAGTTGATTTAAAATATTTCTTATAACTTATTTTTGTACACTTTACTTTTAATTTTTAAAATTTTTTTATAATCTTTCTAGTTACTAAAAGTTTTGTCACGATGTAAAACATGAAGATTTTTTGAATAAATTACTCTAATAATAAAATACAACCCAATATTATTTATTTATTTATTTTATTCTTAATATCCTCAACAGTATGAAAACGAATTACAGACTTCAATAACTACAACTAATCTCAATTTAATAATTGACAAACATAGTCGAGTCAGAATTAGTATGAGCTGTTATTATTAAAGTTTATAATTTGAAAATTATTTATTCAATCTCACCTTCAAAACTCATTACATTTTCCTCTAAGATAAAGCAAATACAATTTCAAATTTCGATACTTTCTGCATCAAAAAGAACATCATCTTCATCATCATCTTCATTGTTGAAGTAATCTCGAGAGCGAGTAAAAAAGTCATTTTTGCTTGGGTGCATATTAGCAATCACAAATTCCGAATGATCAACAGCAATGAGTTTAGGAACCAACAAGCTGCCATTGTTAATAGTTTCTCGTTGGACAATACTAATGCCACTCAATGAGGTAAGACTCACTATCCCTGCTGGACGTGAATCCAAGTATGGCACCGTAACCTCTTGAGAGTCATTGGAGACACTTCTCATATGGAAATCAATGAATTTGTTCACTTTTGCAACCTCAACTTTGCTGAAAGAAGCCAATTATGAATATTATGAACTCTCTTCTGAAATAATAACTACCCTAGTTGTAAATTTTATCATGTTTTTAACAAGTCTCACTCAAGATTTTTAATCAAGTATCTGCATCCAGATTTTGATAATTCTAGCTCAAGATACTGCCGATAAATTCTTGTTCAAGAATTGTCACAGATATTCCGTAAAGATTCTTGAACAAATCTTGAGCAAGAATGTAGCAATAAAATGGCAAGCGATCTGACTCTCCTTTTTACCATACTTTAAGAATCTTGTCAAATTCTTGCTACAGACTCAACCAAGTAAAGCTGAATGCTTTGCTTTCAAAATTTTGTTAAAATCTGATGCCAGTCTGGATACAGAATCTTGATTATCTGTCTTATTAAAAAATTGTTCAATTATTTTTAATGAATTTTGGTCAAAAAACCTGTCCAAGGTCAATATTACTAAGCTAGAATGCCAAAATTACCCATAAGTTCCATCATATTCATTCATTTCTATCAACTCATTAGCTGACAGCCACTCGGACGGTTTGGTCTCAGAAGGATTCAAAGCACCAGTGTAGTAATCAAATGGCGTAGCAAGAACTTGCAAGCCTATTGCGTTGGAATTCCACTGGTTGATATCGTTAGCCACCATTTTCTTAAAGCTAATACCCGTGACAACGTAACCAACAGGCAAACTAATGTCGTCGATGTTCAATCTAGCATTTCCTTGACGTAAGACAGTGAAATCTTGATCGTAAACTAGTGGTACTTTTATGTTCCCTTGCACCTTTTCGAAAGAAGTTGTGGCGTTTTCCGTGGAAACTATGTCGTCTAGTGAAAGCCATTTTAAGGTACTCTGATCAATGGCGCCACCTGGCAGAAGAAGCCCTTGTTGGATCTGTACCTGCACAAAATCATTTTTCATCTGCAGTTTCATGTTTGTAACAACCCTGTAATGAAACAGCATGATTAGCAACAGAACTTTCATTTATGCGTATGAAAAATACTTACATGTTATTAGTGATATTAGCAACTTGTGGTATCAAGCTTATCATGTTCTTATTCATTGTAGAAGATATGTTCGATAAGTAGAAACTGTAATCAGCTGAAAAAATAATGATTTGGATCGAAAAATCGTCATTATTGATGAAGTAGAACAAGAAATGAATTATTAAACGTACCGATCATATTATCTGCTAAATCACAACGTTTTATCTCTCTGGGAGCTTTAGACATCAGGTTTTTCATTGCGTGAAGATAATCTTGAGCTCGATTTATGAAGTTTTGATTTTCTATCAGCAATTCACCATTGTAATCACCTATAAAGACAGTATTCCAATGATATTTGATTTTATTTGACACTAATGGATATCAAACATCATTTATGTTTTGAAGTCAAGTCACATACCTGATTGCAGTATTTCCATATATTTTCGGGTAGCGATAGTCATCATTAAGACACGATAGTCGATTACAAGTGCCAATTCGTAAATTTGCTTTATTTGCGTTTGGATTAGTAGGTCAACATCGCAAGTGTCTTCGAACTTGAATTTCTGAAAAATATATGTAGTCTTAATTTCATTTAAAATGATCAATGTAAAATTTTTAAATTAAATAATTTACAATTTCGACTAAGATCTAATTATCTATAATGAGATGGAATCATTTTTTCTTTTCATTTTTAATCATTAATGAATAGTCAAAAATACTCACATCTTGGTTTTCAACAAGATATCTAAAAAGCGCTTTATAAAATCCTGTAACTCGGCGTGGTGAAAGCTTAGCAAATGACGGATGGATGTGATCCATCAATTCATCAGATCTTGATTCCAGAATAGCTGAAGCAAGACGTCTAAACATAACCGGCGTGACAGATAGAGTATTAGAATATCTGATAAGCATGTTTAAATCTTGGAACTTGAATTCCGTTTGCATAGTTAAAACGAATAAGTCACTGACAGCACGATCGTATATTTCTGATTGCAAATTCAGTTTTCTCTTCAGTTGCTGAAGCATTCCGGTTAACATGTTGTATAAAGTTAATTTTAATTTTGGAAGGTCTTCGACTAAACTTTTCGATTTCATTAAGATTTTATTGATATTTATCTGAGCTTTCTGCTCCGGGGGGAGCAAATTCAAAATGGCATCGTCCAAAAAGAATACAGTCAAGTTATCTCTTTTCAAAATGTATCTAAGGCCTCTGATGATTGTTGCTTGTCCACCCGTTCGGTTCATTTTGCGTTCGATCATTTTTGCAAGGTCTGCTCTAGTAGCATTAAGTCTTTCGATTAATGAACTATCAGCTTCTTGCCATCCGATCCTTGGTAAAGTTGAGTTTTTTATTGTGTCAATGATATTTCTTGCGTATTGTACTACATCTGTGATGTTTTGGATGTCAGGAAAAGCATTCGATTGACAAAAACTGACGATCAGAATTGTCAATAAAAACGGTAGTTTAGCCATTTTTTAACCTTCCAGAAGTTTAACAACCGATTGTAACTGAACTTTTAAGTTTTTAGCCTTGATATAGTGATTTGTATTCTGTAATTTGAAGTTTAAGCGGTAAGATAGAAATTTTTGTAAAATTGTAAAGGTTTTTTCTAAACAAGGATTTCAAAAAAGTGGAAGTTTAAGAGATTTGCAAGCTTATATATAATTCTGGTTACAATTATCTTCTTTCTTTCTAATATTGAAGCAATGGATTTTTATGATTTTGATAGATCATAAGATGGATATTTTATTTGACGCAAAGTCCAGATGGCCAAATAACAAATCACAAAAATATATGATAAATAATAATGTATGATCATAATAAAAATTATAATAAATAAAATAATAATTATTAAATAAAATTCTTGAAATTTAAATTGACAGTATTACATTAAGTTTGTCTTAATACACAAATTTTTCATGATTAGAATTTAGTTTGTTTCAATTTTATTTCTAAGAGACAAGTATAATTGTAGATAAATATGGAAACTGAAGTAATGAGGAAGAAATATGGAGTAAGAAGCAAAAAAATGGAAAATAACATAAAAAGTTAATCAATAGCGAACAAATAGTAAAGAAAAGAAGAAAAAATAGTAAAGCAGTTACAAATAAAAAAAGACCATTCGGCAGTCGAAATGGAAGTAGATTTCATCATAAATAGAAAAAAATAATGGATTTTTAGTAAACCGGCGATTAAAAGCTTATTTCACCCTAACTCCGTTATTTGTTTACTTACTGCTGGTGTACAGTAAAGAAAAAAACAAAAAAAACGACTGCAATAGCAAATTTCATAATTGGCGTAGCGGAATAGGACATAATTTTGGGACTACACATATGATATGGTACTCAAATTGAAGCTTATTTAAAGAGCTTTCATATGCAATTTACAGAAATTCGATAAATTATCCCATTCAAAAGTTATTTAAGTACGAAAATGAAAAAATGTAAATTTTTATGATTTTTCATGATTTTGAAAATTTTGAAATCATGGCATTTCTAAATTACTTGACCGATTAAGCTCATCTTCGAACTTGACCTCGGTATCTATCTGTGGAATAAGTATGTTGAGTTTGATAAAGATCCATTGTAAATTGGCGACGCTATCGTGGTGACAAGCCACGTTATATCGTATATATATATATATATATATATATATA